CGGCGCGGCGCGGCGCGGCGCGGCGCGGCGCGGTCTGTCGTGTTCTCTTTTTCTGTTTCGGCAAAATTTTTACAGATAAATCTCCGGTGGATGAAGGGAAACGACGGAGGATTACGCCCGTCCGAAATCCAGACCGCGGGCGATAAAAAGTGTTATTTACAGCTCCTCGGTACGCCGGCGCGGCCACCATCGATAATTTCCACCGGCCGTTCCTACGCGTCGCTCCCGCAAGCGATCGGAATAATAATACGCGATAATAATAGTGGGATTAACCGACGTCGCGGACATTCCTGTCGAAAATTTTCGAAACTTCGCTTCCAAGATGTCTGAACCAGTTTCTGCCAATATACATCTGCCAATTCTTGCGAATACGTATATTACAGAAATATAGTGGGACTCGAGCATACTATTCTCAAAGCATTAAGATCAAGCAATCTTCTTATTCTTAGCACTTTCTCGTCAATACTGTTTTAACTCTTATTATAATCATACGAATAAAAATTAATCAAAACGTATACATGAGTAAGTAGCAAATTTATTTGAGAGAGCAGATAAGAAAAGATATTAAAAATACGGAAGTTAAAAATGTTAAGAAGAGCTAATTATATCGCGATATTATAATGTAAGCCTGAGAGACGTCTGATCTTTTATGATGAGCCTTTTTCAACGTCTGCTGAATTTTTCAGGAAATTTATTATTAAAACTTTAAAGCAACGAAAATTTTTCGAATATCGACTCAATTTTGGTTGAAGGAAGAAAATATTGGACTTGTATCGACGATCTTTTAAAGCTCGTTGCCTGCAGATAAAGACCATTATTTATAATTTAATGATAATCTTTGATCAAAAATTCTTTGCCGATCATGGTTGAACTCTCTTCCCTGTTTCTTTTCTCCTTTTTTCATTTCATGCTTGCTCCCTCTTCATTCAAAACGATAACAAGCATTTGAGTAATGACATATCGGCAAACTTGATTATAACATGGGTTAGTATTTTAGTATTTTAGTGAAATTGTCTTACATAATAAACTACCGTTGCTTTAAATTAGTCAAAATACAATTTTTATACTTTAGATTCTTAAATTACTAAAAATATTAATATAAAAATTATAATAAATTTATTTTCTCTTTTCTTAGAATATATTAATATTATGACAAAAATTACATTATTTTTATTCAAATATTATGTACATTTTATATTTTATAAAGGCATTATTGTGCCATTCTTTGAATATTTAAGTATACACATAATTTAAAACAAATGCCACTAAAATTTTGCAACCTAAATAGTTGTTTTTATACAAGTTGTAGTTATTAAAAATTCTTGTAATAAAAATTACGGTATCAGTGATTAACTTTGTAGACGTACGAACAAAATTGTGGCGTAACAAGTTCTGTAAATATATGCACGATTTAACCAGTGAGATACGTGGGATACAATTTCATATTATGTCCACCGTAAAAAATCACGGGATTATACAAGGTTCGCTACCGTTAGCGAAATAATAACGAGATAAGACAACGGTGATCTAGCATCATTATTAATAAGGGCGCGCGCCGTCTAATAAGTAGCATTACGTTGCTAACATGCAAACAGTGGGATTATGTAGAACTGTTGTCTTCGTAAAATTATTGTACTAACAAAATGATGAATGTGCTGGCTTTATTACCACTTTATTGTTTGTAACACGAATTATATCCCGTAAACAAATAAATATATTTCTAATGTAAATATGCAATTAATGATGTTAAACAATACAAAAAGATAATGTTCAATAAAGCTTCAGTGCAATGCTTCATGTTCCGTGATGATTAACAACACTGCATTTTTGTCAATTTGCGAGTGACTTAAACATTATGTGAGCTAATTATACTTGTATCATTCTTGCCGAAGAGGACTCCAAAGAGAGACGAAACGTTCAAAATAAGAAGACATCTAACATCTGATTATTGATTGTTCACTAAATAATTGCGTCGTTTATCGTTGCTGATTCTCATTAGCCTACTATATTTATCTTTTTGTATTTAAAATTCGAAAGTCCTAATATAATTATTATTATTATTAATGGTGTTTTTTCAATATAAAATGAATATACTAGTGTAATATTTCTGCATACGAAATTATATGTATGATATTTCATATTTTTATTATCTATTTTAATATTTTTTTCTCTTTTTTTTTTTAAACTTTTCGTATCATTTGTATTGCTCGTGTTACCATTCTAAAAATATTCATGGAAAGAACGATTGCTGAAGTATTTATAAAAATATAAGTATTATACAATAGATACAGACCTGAAAATAATTTTGTTGGACCATCAAAATAACTATTCAAAGAAACTTGTGCATAATGGGCAATGCTGTAAAAAGTTTTGACTTATTAAATTATTTTAATGATTTAACAAAATTATTTTCACACACATACACACACACACAGAGATTTGTACGTACAACAGCTTTGTATGTAACTATTTTTTAATTTCAACAAAATCGTTCTTCGTGTTTTATTTTTTGCATTATCATATTATTATTCTGTTCGTTAATAGATAAGTAAATGGATACATACAATGTATAAAAATATACGTATAAAAGAAAATAATATTTGATTTATACATTCTAATCTATATAAAAATGTGCTTCTAACATATTGAAATCTCTCGATGCAGCGCTCAAGATCTATGCGAGCATTGAAATCTCCTTGATAGAGCATTGAAATCTCCTTGATTATTGCTCGAGAGTACAGTGTATTCTTTTTACGATTTTTTGCTGCATATTCTTGTAAAAGGAAGCATTACGGTAAAATTGAATTCGACGAATATGTCGAATCTTTCATATCTTTCGAGATGACAAAAAATATTATTTGTATCGTAGCTTCGTTCAACGGTCATTTATTTACGAAAACGCGGTAGTTTTCGCCAAGATAGTGCAGATTTAAAATGTAAAGCACCGTAACCGTGGGAATACATAAAGTCAGCGTGGGGAATTCGTCGGGATGGTAAGCCGAATATATATACTTGCGACGCGCGACGTGAGAGACTTGGTCGAACGGGAAGAACGAAGATGAGGAATGGCGGTACCTCAAGCTTAAGATTTCAGATTGTCAGTTGGTGGTCAGCCGTCACGTAGGAAGGACGTGGTGGTGTCCCGCTTGCTTCGCCGCGCTTCACCTTGCCGCGCTTCACCTCTTCTCGCTTCGGATCGTCTCGGAAGAAGCATCGCCTGCATGGACGCTTCATGTATGTGCTCTCCTCGAGAAATCAACAAATCCGCGATATCCAAATGATTTATATCGACTGGCTTACCTGGTGCGGATCAATAATTTGTTCATCTAAGTAAAGAAAATATTATTTTTTTTTTCTTCATCAGCTGATAATAGTTCATTATGAACTACCTCGGTACGTTGACCGGACAGTAGTAATTAGCAGATGAACGTAGTCAATTGAGTAACACAAGTATCTTCCGACTTAGAGAATATATATTCCAAGTTACTCCGCATTGACTTAACGGTATCTACTCAGACATCGAAAAGTGCATTCCTCTGTAACTTTGATGAATACCGCACGTGCGATTACTTTTTTTGATCCCG